GCAGCCGACAGCTGTCTTCAAATCTCTGAAGCGCTCTCATGCAGGAGAGGGATTAGACCTGTTCTGGATGACTCTAGGGGACAGAAATAGGAAGTTCCAGGAAGTCCTCCCTAATCATTAGAACTGTTCAGAGGCAACCCCAGCTGCGCGGCGGGGCGGGGCGGGGCGCGGAGCTGTTGGCAACTAAGTGGTTGAGGTTGAGCTGCCGGGTGGAGGTCGGCACCTGCTGGGAGGCTGGGCTGGTCCGCAGTTTCTCAAGCCCGGCTGAGCCCGGGCGAGTGTCAGAGAATCACCTGAGGAGCTTGTCGAATACAGATTCCCAGGCCCCACCCAGGCCAACCGAATCAGAATCTCTAGGGGTGAGGCTGGGAACCATTTTTAAAGGCTTCCCCAATGAGTCTCAGAATAAAGGCTGGGCTTGGAGGCGGGGCCAGGGCTGGGCGTGGCACGGGGGCGAGGCGGGGGAAGGGCCGGACCGTCCAGTAGTTAATCCCTGCGTCCCTCATTCCGCCACACTCACCTCCACTGATCTAAGTCGGTGGATCGTGCCTCGCTGGGTGGCCCCCTCACTTGATCTTAGCCAAAGGCCGAGAAGCGATTGGGTGCCCCACCTCGAATAATTTCTGTGGCCCTTGATTCTGGGATCACTCCCACACTTAATAGCAGCTCTAACACCCCCCAACCTCCTCTCCCCAAGATCTCTATCCTCACCTCTCCAGTCGGCCTCCGGGTCTTCCTGTCCCTCCCCAGCCTCTCAGGTGACCCAGACAATTTGCTAAGGCTCTTGGAGAAGGACAGTCCGAGGAGGCTGGGCCTGCCGCCCATCGGGAGGGGCAGCTGTTTCCTATCATATCCTAAAAAGCCCAGGGCTCGACCGCTCCTGCGGCTGGGCATAGCTCCCACCAAATACATTCTCCAGAGGTCGCCCTAGACACGTTGCTCGGAGATGACAGAAGCGAGAAAAGAAATACCCAAGTGGACATAAAGACCTTGCTCACCCCGGCCAGGCGCGGTGGCTCATGCCTGTAATCCCACCACTTTGAGAGGCCGAGGTGGGCGGATCACCTGAGGTCGTGAGTTCGAGACCAACCAGCCATGACCAACATGGAGAAACCCCGTCTCTACCAAAAAAAGTACAAAAAGCCGGGCGGGGTGGTTTATGCCTGTAATCCCAGCTACTCAGAGGCTGAGGCAGGAGAATCGCTTGAACCCGGGAGGCAGAGGTTGCGGTGAGCCGAGATCGCACCACTGCACTAAAGAGCAAACTTCTGTCTTTAAAAAAAAAAAAAAAAAAAAAGTCCTTGCTCACTCTTTGGTGACCCTTTGGGTCAATTCCACAGGGTTTGGTATTCCACAGGGCCCCGAAGCGCGCCAACCCTCAAAGGAGAAGTGAGCGTCGGGAATTACACGCGTGCGCTGTCTTGCGCAGGAGCTGAGTCCTCAGGGTCCACGGGGAGAGGAGGAGGGAGTGGGGTGCGCGGAAAGGCAGCGCCTGCCTTTTGCCCTGACCCCATAGCACCACCTGGTGTCTCCTGCGACGGCGCAAGCGCCGCGCTTGCGGATGCTGGGCCCTCTCCCCGTCAGCCGACCCTCCTTCCAGCCGTGCCTCCCCTGCCTGTTGTTCCTCCTTCCTTGCTGCGCCACCCTGCCTGGCCCTTCACCGTCCAGTGAGTGCTTCCTGGCCTGGCCGCAGCTGGCTTACAGCCCCCTGCCTTTACCCAGGTCTTACTCCCAGGAGGTGCGTCCGGGCCCTGCCCACAGTGGGGCTGCACTGAAAGACAGTGGCCCCGGAGCAGGACAGCTAGTGGTGCAAGGGACAGGAGGAGTCGCCGACAGGCCCTCCCGGGCAGCCAGCAGAGGGCAGACTCTCTCCAGCTTTGGGCCCCAAAGGCTCCCATCCGGGGCACTCCTGAGGCCCCTCCCAGAACAGGAGGGTTCCGTTGCGTGAGTGGAACCAGCCGTCCTCCTGGCTGCAGAAACGTGTCTGGAGCACCTTTCGTGGGCCACCCCCTGTGCTGGAGCCAGAGGGGTTACTAAGATGGAGCCCTTGACCCCGATTGCAGAACTCCCAGCCAGTGCCCACCCTGGGCTGGCATTCTCTGAACTCCTCCAGCTCTTCTCCCTGTCACCTTGCACTTTTCTATTGCTCTGCACCATTGATGGGTGTTATGCATGCATAGGTCCCTTTCTCAGAGTCAAGGAGGGGGCTCTGTCAAGGCCACTGTTGGAGCTGGTCATCTGGGAAATAGGTATACGAGGCCTCGTTGTTGTTAAAGCATCTGCTTTTGTTTTGAAAATTTAGTGTGGGCACATTTTCGAGAAGGGCTGAAAGCAGAGCAGCTCAGCCCCAACGCATCAGGCAGGTGTGCCTAAGATGAAGGATGCTGCAACCCCTCACATGAGCCTATTACCAAAAAATGCGGCCTTCCACGGACTTGCTGTGGGGGCCCTAACAGCACAGCAGGCTGGCCCAGGCCCCTCCACCACACCCCTCCTAGGCAGAAGTGAGCTTTCTAGATTTGACGTGAAAGTTCCTCTGGTTGAGTTTCCCTCTTAGGCTGGGGCTTTCCAAGCTGGGAGAAGTTCTGAGCAGTTTTGGGGCCTAGCTGAGCCCTCCAAGACCAAAGTCCATGCAATTCCCAGGCCCAGATTTGGGGTGGAGACCAGACAGGACAAGCCAGTGGTATTTGGCTGGTCAGGTCACTTCAGACAGTGTGGTTCAGTTGGAATTGATACTGAGAAGCAATTGGTCCTTAGAAAAAGCAGGAACGAATCCACTTTGATTCATTTCCACCAGGCTGCCTGCTAATTTTTTTTTTTTTTTTTTTTGAAACAGAGTTTTGCATTTGTTGCCTAGGCTGGAGTGCAATGGCGTGATCTCAGTTCACTGCAACCTCTGCCTCCCGGGTTCAAGTGATTCTCCTGCCTCAGCCTCCCGAGTATCTGGGATTACAGGCACCCACACCCCGCCTGGCTAATTTTTTTGTCTTTTTGGTTGAGATGGAATTTCACCATGTTAGCCAGGCTGGTCTCAAACTCCTGACCTCAGGTGATCCACCTGCCTCGGCCTCCCAAAGCCCCTAATTTGATTGCTCTCATCGAGTTCCCTCCCAGCTCCACAGACACAGGATTGGGACACCAGAGTTCCGGTCTAAACAGCTTTATTGACCAGATGAGAAATCAGCTTGGGTACAGCCCATGCCTGCAGCCCTTTCAGTGGGTGGCTCCAGATAGTGTTGTCCTTTCAGTCGCTGGGAGCAGTGAGGCCCAGCCCTTTCCCTTCCTCCCACCATCACTCCTAACTTGGGGCCTGGAAGGGCTGGAATGATGTGATCTAAGAGTCTCTGGAGAAGGGTGGGGTGGAAGAGGCAGGGTTTTGGGTTAAAGGGAAGATTCTGAGGTCGCAGGGCAAAGGAAAGGGGTGTTTGGATGAAGACTGAGGCTATGCCTACCTTCCTCCACATCTGAGGATCAAGCAGGTGTGGCAAGAACAGAACCCTGGCCTGGGCTCTGCTGGCCACAGCCTTAGGACCCAGGGTTAAGCCAGAGGTAAATGAAGATTTGGGCCATTGATAAATGCCAATATATGTTTCAGGTATTTCATTAGGATCCCTCCATCAAGCAGGGAACTAGATGTCTGAGAAGATCAAATAACATCCTGACTTTGGGGTCCTTAGACCTGGGTTATTCTCCTCCCACTGCTAGTGGGAGACTATCTGTTCCACAAAGTCTCTAAAGCAAGAGGCCTGGAGAAGCAGGGGCTCCTAGGACCCCACTGCCTGCCTCTCTGCCTGCGGTAGTGACTCCCTAAGCTGGGACTCCTCAGGCTTACTCTGAGGGACACCAGGAAACCCACCTTCTTTCCCACAGAGGAGGATCTCTGGGATCCAAGAAACCCAGCCTTCCCCCCTCCTCATCTTTGTCTTGCTTCCCTCTCCCTCCAGCCTGTTGCTGCTGCTCCTCTGGGTGCCAAGATGTGTCCCCAGGTGTCTTGGCCAGCTGATGGTGGACGTGCAGCGCAAGAGGCTAAGAACAGAGCTCTGTGGGGCAAAGTGTGGGGAGAGGGGCCTGCTGTCACCTAGACTCAAAACACTGAGGTCTCCTACTGGTGATGGTGTCAGATCCCAGGCCTGGGGAGTCCTTTAGTGGGGTGGGACCTCAGGCAGACCCCCAAACCAAAGGGAGCCAGATGCCCAAGTTCAAGTCATTAGTGATATGTGGCAGGCATGAGAGAAATGAACCTGGAGGTCTCCAAAGCTGCTGGGAAGGGAATGGCGATGACAAGCGCAGGAGTGGGCAGGGCGTGGTGGGTGATGGTGGCCTCACTCAGAGTGGACCAAGGCCCCAGCTCCTTGCCCAAAACCAAAGCCCTTGGGCCCGAAGTTTTTAGCATAGCATCCTGCAAAGAGAGGAGAGAGAAGTGAAATAAGGGCATGTTCCTCCTCCACCCCCAGCCGCACCACCCACCCTCCTGCTGAAGATCCCCCACTCCTAGTGCCCAGCCAGGCCGCTAGGGAAGAAAGGTCCACTAGGACCCCCTCACCTCCACAGCACCCCAGTCTCAATAGTAAAATGGTGAAGAGGCTCTTGGTTCCACCCTGTACCCATTGCCCCAGCCACTGAAATTACAGAAGCATCATCTGCTGTAAGAGCATTGGACTGGGAGTTAGGAAGCCAGAGTCTAGCTCTATGCCTGCCTCGATTTGCCAGATGATGCTGGCCAAGTTGCTTTCCCCCTCTGGTCTTGTTTCCTCATCTGTACAATGAAGGAATCATACTAGATGTTCAGGATCTTGGATCCCAAGGCCAGGAATTAGTTTACATTCAGCAAAGGCAAGACTACTTAGCCCCTGCACCCCCTTGGGCCTCCTGACCCTCAATTAGAAGTGAAAACACCCACCTTTGCAGTAAATCTCGCCATCCTTGTCTGCCAGGGTGGTTGACTCAAGGCCTTTGCCACACTTGGCACATCGAAAGCAGGACTTATGCCAGGACTAGGCAGGGAAGGAAATAGTTAATGGCTGCCACCAGTGATGAGGGTACCCTCCACCCCAGGCCCACTCCCTTTGACATAACCATGGTATAAGGGCTCAAGCCACTTCTGAAGTCTGCTCAACTGGTGCTGCTGGGAGGACATGGCCCATGGTGCAAGGCAGTAGAGGGAGAAGGCCAGGGACCACATGCCACCTCGCACCATCTTCCATGCTATGTTGCAATGGCCTGATGATTAGGGTCACCAGCTATACCACAAAAGGCAGGTGAGGGGGTGGGTTTAACACCAAGGTAGCTGTTCCCCCCACTGGCTGGGCCAGATGAGCCTTCTCCAGACCCATCTTGCCAGTAGATCAGTGGTGTGAGCCAGGGCTTTGCACTCCTCCTGGTACTGTCACTTAGTACTTGAACAGCCCTCACCAGGAAGACCTCTCTGCCCCGTGTTGCCTTGGGGCATCTCATAGAGACACAAAGGGTCTTCTGTGGCCCCTGGAGAAACTACACTCCTTAGGACTTCCCCTGCTGAGTTTAATGCAATTTCATAGACTTATTCTCCTTCCAAAGTGATACTAGACAACATTGACTCTGGCTTCCTCTGTGCCAGGCCCTGTGCCAGGCACTTTACACTGGTGAAGTCAGTTAATGTTCACAGCTACCCAGTAGGGGACATACTGCCACCCTACCCTCCAATAGCTGATAGCCTTTGGGCAAAGGAGGCACCTAATTCTAGAACTTCAGAGGCTGGGCTGGTCCAGGAGAATCCCAATTACAAATACCTTCTCTGTGACCAGACATCATATGTTTAATCTAGTCCTCACATCCATTCTGTAACACAGGGCAAACAGCTCTCCCAGAAAAAAAAAAAGTGAGGCCCAAGTTTGTACACAGTGATGGTACGTTGCACAGACAGACTTCTTAGAAGCCAGCTCCCATCAACAGCTGGGCAGGCTAAGAGGCTGATGTGTAGACAGCTCTGCTTAACCCAGGAAAAGCAAGAGGCAGGCAGCAGTCAGATAAGACAAAACAAGGCCTTTTAAGGGCAAAGACACTCCTAGTGCCCAGGCTGGCGGATGAGAAGGGAAATTCATCCCCTCAGATTTCCTGGTTGCCTAACCTTGCCCATTGGCTTCTTCTCCAAAGAGCTGAAATTGGGGGACCTGGGTCTAGGTCAGTGCCAGTGCAACCTCAGTAGTCACCCAGCCTTTGCTGCCTCCTCTATAAAGCAAGGGGCTGCTACCCCAAGCTCTCCAGGCTAGAGAAAAACTGAATCACACCTAGACCAACACCTCTCATATTTCCTAGCCACTCCCCTGCCAAAATAAGCTGAATCCCTTTGCTATTCATAAGCACCCAAACGTATTCCCAGCTCCTCAACATTTCTTGAGCGAGGCAATAGAAAGGTGGGGGCTTCTCCCTACCTTTTCCACTTGAATGCAAAATTATCTTATCCTACTCCTTAGTACAGCCCTAACTTTACCTTATAGCCTGCCTAAGTAATGGAAATAGTGATTCTTAGCTATTCTTAATAATTTTCTATTCTCATAATGAGATAGAACAAAAAACCCAACTTAACAATAGTATTAATGTCTCCTGTTTTCATATCCTTTAGTCAATGGCAAGGATCTTCATTGTGACCTCATAACAATCCCTGAAAATAAACAATAATAATAACAATAGCAAAACTGTACTGAGGACATACCAGGTACTACATTGCATGTTAAACATGTATTATCTCATTTAATCATTAAAACTGCCTGGTAGTCAGGCGTGGTGGCTCACACCTCACAATCCCAGACCTTTGGGAGGCCGAGGTAGGTGGATTATGAGGTCCAGGCTGGTTCAAGACCAGCCTGGCCAACATGGTGAAACCCCATCTCTACTAAAACTACAAAAATTAGCTGGGTGTGGTGGCACATGCCTGTAGTCCCACCTACTCAGGAGGCTGAGGCAGCAGAATCGCTTGAATCTGGGAGGCGGAGGTTGTAGTGAGCTAAGATCGCGCCACTGCGCTCCAGCCTAGACAACAAGAGTAAAATTCTGCCAAAAAAACAAAAAACAAAAAACAAAACAAAAACAAACAAACAAACTGCCTTATTTGTCAGGGACCATTACTTGGTCCACTTTGCATTTCCTCCACTATTCAGGTCCACTTTAGAGCTGCAAAACTGAAACGTAGGAAGGATAAATTTTCCCAAGGCCACTCAGCCAATAAATGGCAAAACTAGGATTCAAAGCAAGCTGTCTAGAGTCTAAGGTCTTAATTACCATGCTAGGATTAACAATCCCTTCCCATTTTGCAGCCTTGGAAATGGGTTCAAAGAGGCTAAATGGCCCAAAGTAGCATTAACAGTAGTAACAGTAGTAAGAGCAAGGGCTTCAGAGTCAGACAAACCTGGGCTTGAGCCTGGCTTAGCCCCTTCCTAGCAGATCAGGGCAAGTTATGTAATCCTTCTGACTCCCAGTTCCTTCATCTGTACAACAGGGATACTAATCCCCATCTCCATCCAACCATGACTGTGAGAGTAGAGAGTCTAACCTTGGCCTAAGTGTTAGTTGCTCAACATTTCTTGATCCATTCCCTTATCCCATTTCTCAAGGTCAAAAAGCCTTCAAAGCCAAAACCCAAATCCAGAAGAGCTGAAGATGGGCTCTAGGCCCAGGAGTTCCATAACCTTGTTGTGTGATCTTGGCCAAGTCACTTTTCTATCTCAGGCCTCACATGATGCTCCAGAAATCCTCTCTGGCCTCATAGCTGAAAGACATCTCTTCTGTGATTTTCTGACTGCTCATCTGACACTGCAAACCCCGGGGGCAAGAGTTCTACCTCTTCTCTACTGCGGCCTATCTGAAGGAAGTGATCGGCTCAATTGGGAACTGTCAGTTTGCTACAGTGATTCTCACTGTGAAGTGATTCTCACTGTGCATTGGTGATTGGGGGCTACTGTCAGAATATCATGGGGGAAGAGCATGTGTGGCAATTCTAAACAGTGTGAAAAAAAGCCTCCTAGGAGGCTCTGATAGGCCTGAACCTTGAAAATCTCTGCCCTGGGGGTATTTGGATGGGTTTCTGGGAGTCCACATTCCATGAAACAGAATGTATATTTTTGGGATCACAAATCCTTTGAAAATCTGATAAAAGCTATGGATCTAAGAAGCAGACATGTTCCCATGAAACTTTGCATATAATTTTCGGGGCTTTGTGGACCCTCTGCAGCCCATCCATGTACCCTTACATTTCTGTTCTCCAATATTGGAGATACAGATTGATCATTGCCACTCCCTATGAATGGCCCATTGTCCATCAATGCTAGGGATGTTACTGCTCATGGCTGATATGAGCTCCTTGGAGACTGGAAAGCACAGGTACATGCAATCCACAGGGACAAAGGGAAGAGGTTAAACCCCAGTGCTCAGGCTGCCCTGAGCAGAGCTAGGGTCACCAATTTAAAAGTTCTGGAATCCACATATCAGGAAGATATCTCCCCCGATCCCTCTCATGCCCAGCAGCCACCTTACCTTCCCAGCACCAATCACCTTCTCCGCAGCATAGACTGCCTGGCTGCATCGGGGGCAGCGCTCGGAGCCACCAATCTTCTGGGCAAATTTGGATGCATTGGGGTTGGTGGTGGGCCTGTGGCCAGGGGCTCTGCATGGAGAAGGGCATGGGGTGAGGTGACTTACAATGTAAGTACAGGTGGGGCTGGCACTGAGAGGGCATGACCCTATCTTCATCTCATGCCAGAGCAGCGGGCAGTTCTCTCTGCCAGAGTCACAAAGGCTAGGGCCTCTAGGGTCATCTCCCATTTTACAGATGGACAAACCAAGCCTCAGCACAATGTTATTTCCATTATAACATCATACTTCCCTCGGTCACCCAGTTAACTCCAGATTCATTTAACACCCCATTTGCTAAGAATTGCCCTCCTCTGCCCCTCATTCCTGCAGCTGGTCTATTAGCAGATTCTTTCCAGGAGAAATCTGCTGATGAATCATTCCCACTGGGGCAATGACCTTGGCTGAAACTTGGTAACTCATCCATCATTTCCGTCCACCTCCCCAGGCTGAGGAGCCAGCCAGGCTGACTGCCAACAGCCACCGTTTACCCAGAGGCCAGGGAGTGCTGTGGGGTAACGGGGGGTGGTGGGGATGATGACACCCTATGGCATTTCCAAGAAAGGGAAATGACTTCTCCTCAGTAGTGAGAGACAGCAGGGCTGAGAGTGAGGCTGGTGTGGCAGTGGTGCTGCCCTGAGCCTCTGGTCTCACTCTGACACTCACTAGCCGTGGGACCCCAGGCAAGTCACTGAGCCTGGGCTGGATTTTCTTATCTATAAAAAGAGGAGGTAACATGGCAAAACCCTGTCTCTACAAAATACAAAATTAGCCAGATATGGTGGCACACACCTATACTCCCAGCTACTCGGGAGGCTGAGGCGAGAGGATCACTTGAGCCCAAGAAGCAGAGGCTGCAGTGAGCCAAGATTGCACCACTGCACTCCAGCCTGGGCAACAGAGCAAGATTCCCTTTCAAAAACAAAAAGAGGAAATTGAACTAAGTAATTCTTGGGCCCCTCCCAGCTCTGACCCTTATACAAATATAGAATGCATGCTCCTTGCAGGGAGGAGCCTGGCCTGTTTTAGTCCCTGCTGAATGCCCAGCTCCTGCAGCAGCCTGACACATAGGCGCTGCTCTGTGGTGCCTTTTAAATAACTGGTTTTCTGAGCCTTCCATTGCTTACCCAAAAATGGTTGCAAATACATGTGAGGCCTAATACAGGGGTGGGGGAGAGAGCTCAAGAAAAAGGTTGGGAGAGGATCTTTTACTCACTCCTCGTGCTTGATGCCCAGAGACTCCCCCTTGTCAGTGCTGAGGGTGCCTGCGCCCTGCCCATAGCCATAGCCTTTGGGCCCATACTTCTTGCCATAGCAGGACTTGCAGTAGATCTCCTCACCATGCACGGCCACAGTGGTGCTGTCCAGATTCTTCTTGCAGACCACTGTGGAGGGGAAGTGGATGCGGTGAGTTGAAGCTGGGGTGAGCTGCTTGCTCACTGCAAGCTTCCTACAGCTGAAGCTCTCTGAGCTCTTTGCATACATCATATCCTGATCTTTCAGGAACTGTCTAGAAATGGAGGCAGGTGGGATGACCAATGGGTGGGAGGACAGAGGGATGGGATCTGCATGTCTGACTCTAGAAATGCTGACCAACACCAATTCTTCTTCCAGGACTCCCTGTGTGTCTCCTTTGGTCCTCTGCACTCCCAACCTTCCTAGGCTGCAGTGCAACACAGGGTTCAGAGGCAACAGCCTAGGCTGACCCCAAGCCACACAATGCCTGTTGAGGTTCCTCACTCTGCCCTCAACAGAGACCATATGTCCCAATGAGGGAGGAGAAAAAAGAAAAGAAGAAGGGCAGAGTTTTCCTGCCTTCAACAATGGAATCCAGAAGAGACTATCTGTGCATGCTGGCAAGGAGCCAATGGGAAGAGATGCAGGTGATGTGATACCCCATAAGAAATGTTTAATATTTATTAAGTGCCCAACATGGTGGGCTTTGAAACGAGATGCAGCTCATGCTAATCACAAGAGGATTTGAAGTTTCTAATCTCAGAAATCACTTTGCCATGGGAAGAAGCGAGGTCAGACACTGAGAACTTCCTGAGTCCTGAGGTAAGACAGAGTGGAATGGGAGGAACTAAGGATTGCAATGGTCTGAGCTGGAAAGGCTGTGGGCCTCCTATTTCATTCTGTTAATCTCAGGGGAGCTATGCCCAGCTATCCAGAGTAAAACAGTTTTGGCTGGGCTCAGTGGCTCATGCCTGTAGTTCCAGCAGTGGTAGGCCAAGGCTAGAGGATTATTGAGCCCAGGAGTGTGAGACCAGCCTGGGGAAGATGGCAAAACCCTGTCTCTATTTATTTAAAAATAAATAAATAAATAAATAAAACTTTTAAAAATAAAAGTAAAATTAAAACAGTTCAGAGCCTGGGGTCATGAAGAGTCAGACTGCCCAGAATTGAATGCCAGCTCTCTCCCTTTCCAGCTGTGTGCAAGTTATTTTGCCTATCCAGCCTCTGTGTCCTCATTTTGTAAATGAACATAATGTCTGCCCCAAAAGCCAGTGGTGAGAATTAAATGAGATCTGACATGTGAAGTACTTGGCACAATACCCTGTATACAACAAGTGCATAATAAATGTTGGCTACTCTTATTAGTATTATATAAAGTTAGTACCATCAGGAGACAAGGAAGTGGGAGGGACAGGCCCCGGCCTCAAGAGATCATTGCTTCTAACCTCCACATACTCCTCTCAAGGGATTCAACTGCATTCTATTTCTTTACTTGTCCTGTAATCCTAATTCGGTTTGATCATATTCCTTAAATATTGAAGTTCTGCATCTCAGTTGGACACATCCTCAAATATGTCCTGAACATAGAAACTGAGGGATACCACTGGAGAAGCCACACCTCTTACCACCCTCAGAGAAGCTCTCAGCTCCTTTCCTTGCAACTGCCATCCTCTTGTCTTTAAAAGGTCCAGCCCTCTGCCAGCTCCTCTCTCACCCTAAGCCCCAGGTTGGAGACTTCAGACTAAATAAGGACCCTCTTGTCCTGCCCTGGAGATCTCTATCTCATTCCAGCACTCTGGGCCATCCAAATATGGAACTTCCCACCATTCCCCCAGGGCCTGGTTCCCAAGAAGGAGGGAGAGCAAACCACAGGCCAAGGGCTCCAACATTCCCTTCTAGGGTGGGAAGTCAGGAATTGGCCTGGAATTGTTTTCCTGTAAGATCCAAATTGAACTGAAAATTCCAAGACCAGAGAGAAGGCAGAGTGCTTGGGGGAACAGAGGTATCTTTTGGCTGATCTCTCCAGTAGGAGACCCAGGAACTCAGCCCAGGGCAGACCTCAGGGCTTGCAAGTTGACATCTTCCAGATGGTTCCCCTACCTAGGACCTCCCTGCTCCTTTCTGCTTTGCCTTGGCCTTTCTGTTCTCCCAGAGGCCCAATCCTGCCCATGGTGGCCTTCTGCCCCTCTACCTCCATCCAGGTGATGTAGTGAGAGACTCTGCAGCTCACTTGTAAGATCCACCAAAGACTCAATCAAGGAGAATTTTGAAGGCAGGCCTGAATAAATTTCTACCATATCACGGTAAGCCAATAAGGGGGGAAAAAAAAAAGACTGGATTTGTTGGAAATGCATACTTCCAGATGCCACTTCGGTGGGCCCTTGTGATGCTGCTTGGAAATACAGGGAAAAGGCAGCCCCAGGGGAGAGGTCAGAGCCCCCTTACCCCACTCAGAAATGGAGAATGATTCTCTGCTTCTGGAAGGAAAACCAAGGCCCACAAAACAGTTCCAGATCACGTGTTGGCCATATGCAGGCCCAGGCCAGAACCCAGCCCCTGACCTCCAGACCTGGTTGTTTTCTGCCAGCCATGGCTCCCCTCCAGTGGGCCATGCATGTGGGGCTGGGAGGGTGAAAAGTGACAGTAATCCTCAGCCTGCGGGTGAGGAGACGCTGGTGTCAGAGGGTGCACAAGGCTTCCATGAGCTTCCCCTGTGCTCTTGGATTCTAGGGAACAGCCCAGGGCCAACCTGCAGGGCCCTGTTCCATCGACCACCATCACAGAGCTCTTCTTTCCTCACAGCTGGCTGCTAAACCCAACCTTCCCCAGGAAGGAGGTGGGTACAGCTCAGAGATGGGCACATAGCCTCAGGGCAGGTTCCCAGCCACGGAGCTGAGCTTTCCCACCAGCCTCTGAACCACCATCTGCTCATAGGATCTGGCAGCCCCTTTCAAGACCATGGTAGTGTACTGCAGGCCTTCTCAGTCCCCGCTCCCAGGCCAAGCCCAGAGTGAAGGTCATTCTCCCCAACTTTGCCTATGACATCATCATGTCTTCCTTCTGCCCATTCAGACCCTCAGGAAAGGGCACTGATATGGTTTGGCTGCATTCCTACCCAAATCTCTCCTTGAATTGTAATAATTCCCATGTGTCAAGAGTGGGGCCAAATGGAGATAATTGAATCATGGGGGCAGCTTCCCCCATACTGTTCTTGTGATAGTGAAAAAGTCTCACAAGATCTGATGGTTATATAAATGGGAGTTCCCCTGCACAAGCTCTCTTGCCTGCCGCCATGTAAGACATGCCTTTGCTTCTCTTTTGCCTTCTGCCATGGTTGTGAGGCCTCTCCAGCCATGTGGAACTGTGAGTCTGTTAAACCTCTTTTCTTATAAATTGCCTAGTCTCAGGTATGTCTTTATTAGCAGTATGAGAGTAGACTAATACAGGCATGTAGGTGGACAAGCTGAGTAGAATCTGGAGCCAAGGACCCACATGGTCACAACTGTTTTTGGGGACCCATCCAGGCCTGGCAAGTGAGGGAGGTGGCCCTTACTGCCCTTGGCCCAGACCTGGCTAGCCTCTCACTTCTTTGGGAAGGAAAGTCCTTTGATTCAGTGGGCACCCTGAATGGGGTGGACACTTATCACCCACTTCACTGGAAAAGAGAAATGATGCTTCTTCCATTCATAAACAAATCTTTGTCAGGAACCCACTGTGTGCCAGGCACTCTGCTAGGCATGAGGAATGAGCAAGTTGTGGAGATGGCTCAGCCTGCTAGGACATGTGCAGTGCTAGGGGGTCCACTTGGTGCTCTGATACCCAAGAGCCGCACCGGCCCTGAGACCCTAGCGTGACCTGAGACTGCTTCCTGCGGCTGCTCATTGCATAACACCCCCATCCACCGCCCCCCACCCTCCCTGGAGCCCTGCTCCCCAGCCTGACTTTCTACAACTGTTTCTCATCCGCAACGCCCCTCACACCCTGCCCCAGGCCCTGCTCCTTCCTTCCTATGCCACCCCCTGAATTCCTGACTTCCCTCAACGCTCTGACCGACTACTCCACAAACAGGTCTACAGGCGGGCACTCCCACCCACAGCTGACCCCTTATGGTCAGTGATTAAGCAACATCTGAGAGCAAAGAGAGAGGCCCTTAGGATCCCAGCAGCCTAGACCCCCTTCCCAGCCAGCGCCAAGCTCTCTCTTATTCCCTCTGGAAAGATAAACGGCTTAGAAATTCCTAAGAGTAGTGAACTGCTGATAACAAGACGCTGCTGTTTCTGGCCTCCTTTGCAGGCTGGAAGCCAACAAAGCTCCACTAAACCTTGTTTACTCCCCATTCATCAGACGCAGCCCTGGAGCTGTCACTCCAGGCCCAGCTGAGCAGGATGTGGGGCCCCTGCTACCCTATGCGGGGTGGCCTCAGGTTGGTCTGCCTAGCGACAGGCAGAGATGCAAATGGTCATTGAACAGGTGGCTCTTGGCCCATCTGGATCCTACTCTGGAGCACAAATCATAAAACTTTGCTTCATGTAATGTGGAACAGACAGGACCCCATTCTTGGATCTCCCAGATGGGCTGGGGCCTCAGCCCCTGGTGAGGGCTTCTTTTATCACACCCTCTTGCTATAGATCCCTCAGCAGTGTGCGTGTATGTGTGTATGTGTGTATGTGTGTGTGTGCATGTGTGCATGTGTGTGCATATCATTTCTTCAACACTCATAATTATTTTAAGTGCTTTGTTTCACAAGCTTCTTTCATTTTAATTCTCACAACAATCCCACGAGGTAACTATTATTACCTTCACTGTAATAATGAGAAAACTCAACCAGAGAAACTGAGTAACTTGTCCATCATCACGCAGATAATAAACACCGAATCTTTTTTAACTAAGACATTCTGCTACCATCCATTCTGCCTACCCTCATGGAGAATGTACCTTGGTGGGCACAGTGGCTCACACCTGTAATCCCAACACTTTGGGAGGCTGAGGTGGGCAGACTGCTTAAACCCAGGAGCTCAAGGCCAGCCTGGGTAATATAGGGAGACCCTGTCTCTCTGAAATTTTTTTTTAAAATTGGCCGAGCATGGTGGCATGCATGTGTAGTCCTAGCTACTCAGGAGGCTGAGGTGAGAGGATCATTTGAGGTGGAGGTTGCAGTGAGACACTGCACTCTAGCCTGGGTGCCAGCGTGAGACTCTGTCTTAGGAAAGAAAATGCACCTTGCCTCTTCTTCTAACCCAGGCCTTCTGCTCTGATCACAATGAACCAACTCATTTAGGAACCTGAGGAGAGGCTTCTCCAAGTTGCCACATCCTGGAAACATCACCTGGTCCAAGTACCAGTGGGTACAGCATCACGGTATCAGGATCCCTGGGTCGACCTGACCTCTGTGAGTTGCTTGGCATCTTTTGTCTGATTTCCTACTCATCTAGGCTTGTGACTGGAGCAGACCTTGCTCCGGCTTCTTAGGAGTAGATATCAGGGAACTTTGCACTCCCCCTTCCTCTCATCCCAGGCTAAGTGGGAATGGGAAGTGAAGAAGTGAATGGGCCGGGCTGCAAGGGGCTGAGGAAGGAGGAGCCCTGCTCTTCCTCCAGACTCAGCTTTGCCATGAGGTTGTGGCCTCTGTTTCCTTTGAACAAGATATAATTAGGGTCCAAAGGGCTGAAAGTGTTTTACTCTGAAATGATGAAATCATGGCAGGGAGAGAGAGAAGAGAGAACTGAGTGGAAAGTTTTCTTAACCAAGTCTTTACAGCTTGGCTTTCAGCCCCTGAACGCCTGCCACCCCGACCCACTCTGGCCAGTTTATCCCTTAGAAAGAAGCTTCTGAACGGAACAAAGAGGCCCTTAAGTGCTTCCCTGCCCAGCTGCGCTTCAGCCAAATGTCAAGCTGTTTACATCCCACGGGACCAGTTCCCTGGGGTGTTGACAGGCCCAGCCTGTGGGGGCAGGCCTGTCCAGGGTGTCCAAGACAACAGCAACAGGGCCTGGGGCGTACTCACTGCACAGGAAGCAGGATTTATGGAAGCTGTTGCCTTCGCACTGAACCTCTTCGGCAAAGTAAACCGTCTTCTGACACACCCCACATTTCTTGCCTCCTCCCCAGTTCGGCATTCTGAAAAGGGACACAGAAATGGGAATTAATTTTACAGGGAGATGGAAATATCTCAGATTGTCCATGACAGAAATTCAACAGCCAGAGCCGGAGGAGAGAAAGATGAAGGGCAGAATGCCTAGTGGGGCCACCAGGCCTGGCAGAGCACTTTCTGCTAGCTCTCGACAGCATCCTCACACGTTACTCAGGGATTTCCTCCCCCAGTGTAATCAACAGGTCTTTACGGAGCAGCTGCTGCATTTTCAGCCCTGTGCTAGGTAGGCACTCTGAAGGATATGGATCAGTAGAAGAAACAGGCTTTATAAAGAAGCCTGCAGCGACAATAAAAATGGACTGCCTACCCCTATACATGTCTCAAAGAGAATGTGGAAGGGAAGAAGTAGACAGACCAGAGCTGGGAAAACGCAAGTCCGTCCATTTGTATGAAATTCACAAATGGGCTAAACTCATATTGTCAAGGGATGGACACATGGGTGGAAAAGTTACTACAGAAAAGCAAGGGAATGATGATCACAAGCTTTTACCTTAGAAGAGTTACCTCCAAGGGAGGGAAGGGACCATGACTGGGTGGGAGACCAGGCAGGCTGGCAAGGCACTGCCTGGCAATGCTCTCCTTCTTAACTTGGATAGTTGTCATATGGGGGCTTACTTTATAATTATTATTTGAACTGTACATTGTGCATACTTTTGTATATAAGCTATAGTTCACCACAAGAAAAAAGGTTTTTTTTTTGTTTTGTTTTGTTTTGTTTTTTTAAAAAAAGCAGGGCTGGGTGCAGTGGCTAATGCCTGTAATCCCAGCACTTTGGAAGGCTGAGGTGGGCGTATCACCTGAGGTCAGGAGTTCCAGATCAGACTGGCCAACATGGTGAAACACCGTCTGTACTAAAAATACAAAAATTAGCCGAGTGTGGTGGCATGCCCCTGTAATCCCAGCTATTCGGGAGGCTGAGGCAGGAGAATCGCTTTAACTTGGGAGGTGGAGATAGCAGTGAGCCAAGATAGTGCCACTGCACTCCAGCTTGGGCAACAGAGCAAGACTCTGTCAAAAAGAAAAAAAAAAAAAAAAAAAAAGCACGGGGTAGGCACACAGGGCAGAGTTATCAAGCTTCAGAGGAGGCGCTTTTACAAAATCAGATTTAGTAATACCATCCCACATCTAATGAATTAGAAGCTCTGAGAATGAGGTACTTGAGAGAATGAGGTACTTGAGTCTGAATTTTTAACAAACACCCCAGGCAAACAAAGCAGGTGGCCTGGACCAACTTTGAGATGCTCTAGATGTTGGTTCAGATCTGGGGTCCTGATGCCAGGCAGGTTTGGCTCAATCTTGATCCTGTCACTCACTGGCTGTGTGACCTTGGGCAAGACAGTCAGTCTTTCCAAACCTCGATTTCTGTATCTGTTAAATAAGGATAAAAGCCGGGCGCAGTGGCTTATGCTTGTAATCCCAGCACTTTGGGAGGCTGAGGCAGGCGGATCACTTGAGGTCAGAAGTTTGAGACCAGCCTGGCTGATATGGTGAAACCCTGTCTCTACTAAAAATAGAAAAATTAGCTGGGTGTGGTGGCGCCCGCCTGTAATCCCACCCACTCAGGAGGCTGAGGCAGGAGAATCGCTTGAACCTGGGAGGCAGAGGTTGCAGTGAGCCAAGATCACACCATGACACTCCAGCCTAGGCGACAGAGTGAGACTCCATCTCAAAAAAAAAAAAAAAAAAAGCAGATAAAAATCGTGACTTCACCGAGTATGTCTGGCGATTAAATGAGATATGATACGTCAAAGGCAAGGCACAGTGCCTGGCACATACACGGCACACAGAAGTCCAGGCGATGCCTCAGGTCAGTGCCCGCATGGCCACAGAGCAGCACAGAAGGTAACACTAGTGAGTGTGGAGAACAGATGGGGCCTGCTTCTCTCCTTCCATTTCACTCACTCACTCAACAGACATGGCTGAAGGAGGGAGACCGTCCTTCCAGCTCTTTCAACAGAAGTTCATGAGGGAAGGGCTATACAAAGCACCACCTACAGTGGGTACAGGCTTGGTGCCGGGGGTTGCCCAGGACATGGTGAGTAAAGGACACAGGGAGGTGCTGGGAAATAAAGGGGCTGGAAGTCAGAGGGGTCTGTTGCCTCAGGAGGCAAAAGAGCCTAAGGAGAGAGCTCACGGAACCTGTGGCATGGAAATGTTGAAAACAGGGATGTGGCAACCAGAGCCCACCCTCCTGGTAATAGGGCTCGTGCCAGCAGCTAAAGAGTCAATGTCAAGGGCAGAGGGAGACAGTCTCCACTACTGGAGAGCTTCCCATCTGAGGGCGACACAGGCCTCAGCTCAAGTAGGGATCCAGGTCACGTTCACCACTCTGTCCCCATGCCCTGCATAACACTTGGCATGTGGCTGTTCATATATGTGGCCAGGAAATAGCTGAGGAATGAATGAAGGATGCACTGATATTGAAAGCCATGGCTTCTGGGGCCATTCTCTCTGCATGGTGAATCTCTGCAGAGCCTGGTTCCCAGTGGAGGTGCTTGGTAAGTGTGTGCAGGCTGAGAGGCAGAGCTTACTGTGGGGAAGTGGTATTGGTGATGCTGGGGGATCTAGGTAGACGGTGCCTGCTGTATAAGCCCAGTTCTCCCTTTCCCAGGTTCTGGACCAGCCACACCGCCTCAGGCTCCCACACATCGCTGACACACCTGGCAGGAATTTCTGTAACTGCTCACATCCCCATCTGTATCTTCCTCAGATAACCCATGGGGCCTGAGCCCCCAGATCCAGAGACAGTCCCCGTTCCCAGCCTCTGATGTCACGCTGTTCCTTCAGCTTCTTTCTGTTCTGAGGACTGCTAGCTGCCCTTGTCAAGCAAAGGTTTGGGGCTGAAAACCATACAATATGAAGGAGAGTTAGACAGGAATGGCAATCAGCAAAGTGTATCATGGTCGGCCTAACCATCAGCCATTTCCCAATTCTTCCTTGCTACAAATCCCGATTTTATTCAGGCCATTGAGTGACTGCGGAGATGCCCTTTCCCCAGATGGAGGAACAGAGCCTGTGTCTCCTAAGCCAACCACAGAGATTCTATTCCCCTGCTGGTGGCTGGATCAGAAACAGGCTGAGACTGTTTCTGGCCAGTGAGATGTGAGGGGAGGTCTGCTTGGGAAGCTTTTGTGATAATGTGTCCAGTCGTACAGACCCACACAGGCTCTCCTCTCCCTCTGATCAGGTGACTCAATGTGACCCTTGGAACTCAGCCACGGCACCCACACTGCCATGGACTGAATGCCTACTATGCATCAGATGGCTCATCTGCATCATCTCTTTATTTTTTTTGAGATGGAGTCTCACTCTGTCACAGAGACCAGAGTGCAGTGACACAATCTCTGCTCACTGCAACCCCCATCTCCTGAGTTCAAGCAATTCTCATGCCTCAGCCTCCTCAGTAGCTGGGATTATAGGCGCCCGCCACTGCCACCATACCCGACTAATTTTTGTGTGTGTTTTTTTTGTTGTTTTTTTTTTTTTTTTTTTTTTTTTTGAGACAGAGTCTTGCTCTGTCGCCCAGGCTGGAGTGCCGTGGCCGGATCTCAGCTCACTGCAAGCTCCGCCTCCCAGGTTCACGCCATTCTCCCGCCTCAGCCTCCCGAGTAGCTGGGACTACAGGCGCCCGCCACTTCGCCCGGCTAGTTTTTTGATTTTTTAGTGGAGATGGGGTTTCACCGTGTTAGCCAGGATGGTCTCGATCTCCTGACCTCGTGATCCACCCGTCTCGGCCTCCCAAAGTGCTGGGATTACAGGCTTGAGCCACCGCGCCCGGCCGTGTTTTTTTTTTTATAGACCGGGTTTCACCATGTTGGCCAGGCTGGTCTTGAACTCCTGACCTCAAGTGATCTGCCTGCCTCGGCTTCCCAAAGTGCTGGAATTATAGGCATGAGCCACCGCTCCCAGCCGCATCATCTCATTTCATCCTCATCATCCGAAGATAAAGAATGTATGCCCACCTTACAGACAAGACAAGCAAGGCTCAGAGCGGTTAGGCAACTTGCTTATAGTCACACAGTTGGAAGAGGTAGACCTAATACAAGGACTCTAATGCAAGCTCATCTATTTCTGAGTTCTCTGTGCTCCAATCACAATGCTGTGGCCCTTGCATATTTAAAAGGGGCTGCTCGTGGTAGGCATACAATACATCAGTGCTGGCCCTCTTCCTCAGCCTTCTCCGACCCCCTGACCCAGCAGGGGACATACTCAGGCCCCTAGGAACACCCCTAAGGGAGGAAAATTCTCCCAGCCACATGGTTGGGAGCCAGTTCCAAACACTGTTTTGTTACAGACACAAAAGCCCTTCTCTCTCTGGGGGAGACCCACAGCTCCATACAGGCCTCCCCTTGTTTTCCCTGGCTCCGTGTCAGGGGCCCACATCCAGCAGGGCCCCAGGGAATCAGGACCATGGGCGGAGAAATGGGTGAAACCCAAGGACCTGCCAGTAAGGAAAATCTGCTCAGGACACCTCTTAGCTTTTAGCTAGGCTGCTCTTTGAGCCTGGTCATTTAGTTGGGGTAAGGGTAGGAGGGTCTCCCCTCAAGAGCCCAGTGAAGGGACAGGACTCTATTGCCTTGAGATGAAAAGTGATGACTCTGTCCCTAAACCCAGGAAGGGTTTCAGGCGGTGCCTGTGGATGGGGTCCTGTTCCCCTCTGCCCACAAGAGGATCCCTCCAGGTGACCCTGCCTGTGGGGAAGAGGCTCAGCTGGAGGGAACCCTGGCAACAGGCGGGGCTCAGTCTCCACTCCACCAACTCCCTTTCTGCCCGGCCCCTTCTCTCCAACAGCCAAATTCTGCCTGTAGGGAGGCCAAATTGCCTTAAAAGGAAACCTGTTTCTCAGAGTTCATGGAGTGCCTTAGAGGGACACTTGGCTCCTTCTTAATTGCCTTCCCAGCTCTTGGGGACAGAGGCCCTGCAGAAGGGACAAGAGAAGTTCCTGAGGTCAGGGTTCAGGCTGTACAGGTCAATGGTTAGGAAAACAGGAGCTGGGATTCAATCAATACAGATTCACCCCTTCGTAGCTGAATGATCTTGGGCAAGTTACTTTCCTCTCTAAGCGTCAATTTGCTTGTCTCTAAAATGGATCACATACGGACTCCCTAAAATTGAGCTATAAGGATTAAATGAGGACGTATGGAAGTGATGGCCAGCACACTGTAAGTGCCCACCCCTCTGACTACCACTCACACGACTGGCCCAATCATACCTCCACACCACACTGCTAGATGTGGGCCAGCCGTCCACATGTAGCTAGTCCACATATGGAAGGAATGAGGCTTAAGAGGTAGCATGCCAAATAGGGCCAGGAACTCCTGATTCATCTGCCAGCCCAGCAAATGCGTCTGGGACAAGTTACTTGCCCTTCTTTGGGGTTTAGCTCCCCCCAGCTGTCTGTGATGTCCCATTTCACTGTGTTGACCATCTCAACGGAGAACAGAGCTTGAATTTTCTACTGAATGGCTGGAAACACGTGGTCAGCTATTTTCCTGAAATGGCTGGAGGCTAGAAGCCTGCTGTGTCTGCTGCTACATCTTCCTAGCCTGGCTGTCCCATTAGAACTGTATCCAGATCCCCAGTTAGGACTGTACCCAGATCCTCAGTCTTGAGACGAGAAAGCCAAGGTGGCAGCTCTTACAGCATCAGTGAAAGGAGAAGAAAAAGGTCACAGACTCTCGCAGTTACCCCAAATCTCATGAAAGTCAGGCTTGGCTGGGTGTGGTGGCTCACGCCTGTAATCCTTGCACTTTGGGAGGCCAAGGCAGTTGGATCACTTGAGGTCAGGAGTTCGAGACCAGCCTGGCCATCATGGTAAAACCCTGTCTCTAACAAAAATACAAAAATTAGCCAGGTATGATGGCGGGCACCTATAATCGCAGCTACTCAAGAGGCTGAGGCATGAGAATTGCTTGAATCCAGGAGATGGAGGTTGCAGTGAGCAGAGATTGCACCACTGCACTCCAGCCTGGGCAATAGAGTCGAAAAGAAAAGAAAAGAAAAGAGAAAAGAAAACAAAAAAGAAAAGAAGAAAAGTCCAGCTCAGGCGACAGGTTGAAGGAACCATCGCAGAGATGTAAAATCCCTAACTGCCAGCCACCAGTGTCTGAAGGCAAGCCCCTTCTTATCAAACCCTTCAAAACCATCCCGTATCTTTATTTCTCCAGTGGAAAAATCCCATCTCTCCCGTTCCAAAATCACTTATTCCCTAGGGCAAAAGAGAGACTGACGGCACAGGGCCAAAGTCCCCACCCACTTGCTCCAGTAGAAACCTGTCAGATGTTTATCTAGTTCCCTCGCATTAGCTGAGCTGCTTAGTATCTGCCAGGTGGACAGGAGGGCTGGCATCCCTTCCAATCTGTAGCTCAGCTTTTGCCTCCACGCCCCAGTGTCCAGAGAGCAGCTGAGGGTAGAGAGGGAAGGAGGGGGCCCTGATGGTCAGGGCTCAGAGCCAAGTCTTAGAGGTGATACCTAAGAGCTCAGGAAATCAGCCTCTCCTGAAGGTCCGGGTCCCAGGTAGGGGGAGAATGGCTGCCATGGAGATGGGGCAGGCATGGCCTCAGCTTTGCATATCCCACCTCATGTTTCCTTCAGAACCCTGCACATGACCCGCCTCTCTGAGAAAGTAACCAGCATCACTGAGCTACCATCACTCCAGGCCCTATGGGACTCCAGAACTTGACTGTCATTCTAGCTCAGGGATCCTTCTCTCTATTGTATGAGTTTTCTCTTTTCAAATCCATGTCCAGTGGCTCTTGTGAGACTGTGAGCTGACAAGGATGGTGTATGTCTCTCCCTTTCCCCACTTGCCCCCGTTGCCTTCTAGAGCAGAGCTCCCTACTCTCGGAGCTCAGAAGTTTGCAGGGTGCAGTGGCTCATTCCTGTAATCCTAACACTGGGGGAGGCTGAGGTGGGCAGATCACTTGAGGTCAGAAGTTCGAGACCAGCCTGGCCAACAGCATGAAACCCCATCTCTACTAAAAACACACAATTAGCCGGGTGTGGTGGTGCGCACCTGTAATCCCAGCTACTCGGGAGGCTGAGGCAGGAGAATCGCTTGAACCCGGGAGGCAGAGGTTGCAGTGAGCCAAGATCGTGCCACTGCACTCCAGGCTGGGGGACAAGAGTGAAACTGTCTCAAAAAAAAGAAGTCTGAAGGTCAACACAGGTAGAAATGGAGGTCGTTGACTTCTTTGTAGTATTTTAAAACTTCTACAGGAAATCCTGTATTCTAATGAAGCCTCACAGACAAATTAACAGATGGGGTTTCCTTGTTTTTATCCAGATCTGGAATGATGTTGGTTATTCCATGCTGAACAAGATGGTGTGAATGATTTTTCTTTGATTAATTTTTAAAAAGTTAAAGCAAATTAGCACTTAGGCCTTATAAACACAGGTTGTTTGCAGTTGACATCCCAGGAAGCGCCAACCCACGTCCCCCCCCCCCCACATAAAGAAAGCCAGGCACACAGTTGGGGGTAGGGGGTGCTGGCAGCCTAGCTGGGGCTGAGCTCCAGCTGCTAACCTTCCATTTCTTCCTCTGTTGTCACCGCTGAAGACTCAGACACTGCCTTCTGGCCCTGGGGAAGCACTGGAAATACCAGAGTCTGGAAATGCTAGCTGCCCCCGTATTTACACACTTTACCATACATGGGAATGACTCAGTGCTGGCGTCAGACACATTCCTAGGGAGCTGCGTAGTACAGGAACGTCCTTACCATATAAATTCTTGACAACTGGAAACAGCAGTCAGAACCCAGGACCCCTCCACCTCACCTTCTCTGCCCTCCCCTCAAGTTTTACTAGCTCTCTCTCTCTTTCTCAAGCAGGCTCTTTTCCAGGCTTCTTTTCTTTCTGCAAACCTGGCTCTGAAACTCAACATGCAGAGGTGGTGAAAGCATATCCATTGGTGGCTGGCAACTAACTCTCAGGGGTCCCCTCTGCTCCTACCTGGCCATGCAACAGACTGAAAACCCGGAGGTCAGGAGTTCTAACTCTGACCCATCCAAGTGAAAGATATCTTCCTTAAATAGTTTATAAGCCACTGTAAAGCAACTTGTAAAGCTGATGTGTTTCACAAATGGCAGATATTTCCTTAGTGAGTTGATCTGGAAAAAGGAAATGTGGAGGAGCAAAGAAAAATAATAGGGTAGTGACTGAGCATACGTTCTGAAAACAATCAGCTTATGTTGGAATGGCAGCTTCAAAACTGATCAGCTGTGATCCTGAGCAAGTTTCTTACTACCACTGAGCCTCAGTTTCTCCATTTGTAAAATGGAGAGCATCAGTAGCTACTTCATAAATTGTCCAAGATAACACATGTGAAGTATTTCTCACACTGTCTGGTACACTGCAAGTGCAGATATCCGGTTATCCTTATCTTAAGGACATGCCAACTCTAATACCTATTGTTCAGTTTTGTGTCTCTTTTGATATTTGACAATATGCTTGAGTAATGCCAAATGGCTGACTTGGAGGAAAAAGTCTTTTTATTCTCACTAGCACCTCTTTGGATCCCAAAATATTTAACCCATGTGTCTTCATCTAGCCAGCCAACGTTTCACAATAAGCTAGGCTTACATAAATATTTAAAGCTTTAGCAACCTGCCAGAAAAGCCTTCCCAATTCGCTTCCCCCACCAGGAGACGGACAGTGAATAAAAACTATGTTGCCAGGCACAGTGGGTCATGCCTTAATCCCAGCACTTTGGGAGGCTGAGGTGGTGGTGGGGACAGGGAGGGGATCACTTGAGGCCAGGAGTTCGAGACCAGACTGGCCAATATAGTGAGACACTGTCTCTAAAAAAAAAAAAAAAAATCGGCCGGACGCAATGGCTCATGCCTGTAATCCCAATGCTTTGGGAGGCCGAGGCAGGTGGATCACCTGAGGTCAGGAGTTCAAGAACAGCCTGGCCAACATGGCGAAATGCCATCTCTACTAAAAATACAAAAAATTAGCTGGGTGTATTGACAGACATCTGTAATCCCAGCTACTTGGAAGGCTGAGGCAGGAGAACCGCTTGAACCTAGGAGGCGGAAGTTGCAGTGAGCCAATGTTGCGCCATTGTACTCCAGCCTGGGCGACAGAGCAAGACTGCCTCAAAACAAAACAAAACAAAACAAAAAACAAACCAAAAAAAAAACTATGCCTTTTTTTCTCTCACCTGCTTGTCAATCTACCCAAGTGGAAAAACTGGCTAGTAACTATTTGCAAGGTTTATGAGTGTCCAGCAGGCCAACTCAGCTGAAAGACCATTGCTACCCCACTCATTCATCAAATATGTACTGATCACCCCGTCAAGTGTCACTACACTCCCAGGCTGCAACTCTGGCCCAGTCAGGACTCACTAGCTCCAGAAGCAGATGCACATGTGTACAATTAAAAGAGCAAACACCTGGGCCAGGAAAGAAGGTGCTAAGACAGACCAGAGGCAAAGAGGCCATAGCACCCCTGTTTTTCCCATTTTATTAGCAGGCCAGTTGCCGAGCTGATGGGCCTTCTCTTTAGTTTCTCTCCTGCATCCCCTGCATACCCTCCATCCCGGGCATCTCAGGCCTTGCAGACAGTTCTCTCCTCCCTCTCCTCTAACCCACACTACACCCTCTGCAGGATAAACTTCCTCGTCTGCCTCCGCCCCGGATATCCTCTCCAAGGCAAAAGGGTCATTCACTGGAAGACTGTGAGCAGGAGGAAGCTGGATTTAGGAAACAATGGGTAAAAGCTGCCCATCAGCAGTTGAGGGCTGGGGACAGTCTCTCTCAAAAGAGGTAGCCTGGCCTCCTGAGCCAGAAACCAGCTGGAGAGTCAGGAGGCAGCAGTTGAATGAGAGCAGGGGAAGCTCAGTACCATCCCCAAATCCTACCTGGGGAAAATCCCCAACATGCACTCTGAGAGGACAGAGGGAGACAGGCAGCACCTCCAGCCTCCTTAGCTTCTGGGAGGAAGGGAAGGGATGGGGGGGGACAAGAAAGAAGATAGTAACTGACAGATCACTCCTGTGTCAGAGGTTCTGTAGCATCCCTGAAAGAAATTGAGGCATTGAGAAGTTAAATAGTTTATCCAAGGAAACCTGTGTGTTAAGTGGCAAAGCTGAGTCAAAACTCTGCCTTCCAAACAATCCCCCACAAAGACTCCAGGCCACCTCTTCATGATACACTGATACACTTTCTACCAGGGCCCAGTGGATTTCCTCGGTGCCACTGTGACAGTATCCCAGCGTGGGGAGGGCCTGCCCATTCACTCACTCTCAGGGAGCAGCGGGGTGGGTGGTGGGAGCCCAGGGCTCTAGGCAGAGCCTGAGCCCACTATTGGTCCAGCCGATTCCTGGGTCCCGGTTAGATCACAACAGCACCAGAACCAGAAGCACGCAAAATATTCTCTGGTCTGTACTAGTAGATACATACCTGCCTCAGAGGGCTGACTGTTAGCTAACACATTGTGATTTGCTTTAAACGCGCTCAACACCAGTCCCTTTCTTACTGCCCAGCTTTCAAGGCCTGAGGCCAGAAAACACTGACTGCAGGCTCTTTCAGGTTTCAGTAACCATCACCACCTAGCACCAAGATTTGGAGTGGAGAGGTTTCCATGCAGTTCTTTCGCAAGAGGGAAAACTCACACCTGCGCTCAGGGACACAGATGTCCAAGGTCAGGCCCATGAAGCCAGATGTTTGCCCCACCCCGCCCGCAGGCATTTTCTCCCCAGCAGGAGGGTGAGGGAGGGGGTGGCACGGATGCCCTCATCTCTCTGCCATACAATGAGCGTCAGTAGCGCGCAGAATCGCCGATTGTTCTGCCCAACCTGCAGGCGGTTGGGGGTAGCCGGGTCGTCCTGGGTCACGGACACGCGGAAGCCAACTGTGTCCAGGAAGTCCAGGAAGCCCAGGAAGGCCCGGGATGGGGAGGGACCTAGTGCCTCTAGGAAAGAGCAGCACTGCCGGGGCTAACTGCGGTCACTTCTCACAATTCCCCGCCTGCGACAGCCCCAGGGGCCGCGGCGGAGCGAGCAAGACCGGGAGGCGCTGAGGGCGTGCCCAGCGCCCCTCCGCAGGGCGCAGAGCCGCGTGGCCCAGGGCGCACTCACCTGGCAGCTGGCTCGGCGGCGCACGGGCGGCAGGCGCTCTCGGAAGTGGCGGCTGGGTGCGCCCGGCCTGCGCGCCGTTTTGTTCCGCTCCGGGGAAGGCGTGTCCCGGGCCACGCCAACCAGTGGGCTTTGCACACTGCACCACTCCAGGGCTGATGTCATGGCGCGAAGCCCGGCGGTGCTGCCCTCCCAGGCCCCAGGACGGCCCGGCCGGCAGGGGCAGGGCAGGAGTCGCCGACTGTGGGGGTGCCCCGCGCTTGTGCTGCGGTCCCACTGTGCGCCCTGTCGCCGCCACCGCGGAAAACGTCTTGCACGTGCGAGGGACATTTCGGGGGTTTCCTGTCGGTCAGGTGAGAAGGCGGAGATGTGACCTTAGAGATCAGACCCATGATAAACTTGGGCCCCTAACGAAAGGGGTGTCCCGAATTTACATGCCCGGGTGCCAGAGGGTAAGGGACACATCTTGGGCGCCAGGGTAAGACAGACCCTTCCAAGGCAGGTCTGATTCCGCCCATCCACTCACTAGCTGGGCCCTGGGCCTAGACAGCCCCTCTGGGTTCAGGGTCATCTGTGAACGACCTGTAATCTACAGGGATGTGAGGGGCTAAAAGGAGATCCTGTAGGACCCGCGACCTTCAGCGGCACCCGGCATGTAATAGACAGTCAATAAATGTAACTCCCCCCTCCAACAGCTCTTGCCGCTCAGTTTTTCCCAGTCTTCCCTGCTACCCCAAGGACAACACCTGGGAAAAGGTGTTCTCCTCCAAAAGCAGCAGTTCTGAAAAGTGGGTACCTCCACAGAGGGGCTCCACCCTTCAGTAGGACAGACACAGGCTCAGGCCACTCAAGCTGCCCCTGGGGCAGTTTCCAGGGGGCATTCTGTCCCCACCTCCTCACCCAGTCCCCAGCTCTTCCTGAGTGCCCTGTGCAGGCGTTTCAGGGGGCAGAGACGCTCACAGCCTCCAGAGGTGCTGCCTGGGTGGGAGGAGAGCCCTCACCCCTTTCCTGAATGGGAAAGAGCCCAGAAACCCAATGTTCTAGACAGAGCAGGAGCTCCCCAGGAGCCTCTGGCAGGGAGGGACTAGGTAAGAAAGGAGAGCCAGATGTGAAGCGAGGCATCATTTTCTTTTCCTCCTCCCGGCCCCACTCTGTCCTGCGGTGCAACAAGCAAGGAACATTGCCCTTTTTGGGAACTTGTGAATTTGGATTTGGGGGAACATGAAGAATCTGCAAGAGAAAATGATGTTTCCAGGAATAGGAGGAGTAAAGAAGGAGTGACAGCCTCGGGAAACAAAGCCCTGTCTTGTAGTTTGTAGGTTTTTGTGAACTTGTTATGCTTTATTTCTAAGACCAAAGGAAATCAAGAGCTGGTGTTGTCTTATTCTCTCAGATTGGATTCCATTATTTTCAGGGTGCAGACTGTGATGGGAAATAAACCGCACTCAGATCTGGGATGTACACTTCAGTGTGATTGCGAATGTTGTGTGGGGTGTCTCTGTGTGTAACTTTCTACTGTATTCCAGAGCATGCTTAGAAGGAACCTCTGCAGCCTCCTAATGCCCATAGCAGTTCACTGTGGGGAGGCCCTGGAGGGTTTGCTAGGCAGCTGGTCACCCTACACCCCAGGTGGCCTATAGATGCAGCTGCTACGTCTTCCACCCTGGGCAGGTGTCAAGGGTTCAGGTCCCAACCGGCTTCACTTAAAGCCCTGGTTTGCTGAATCAACTTTTTGCCAGGAATAAAGTGAAGCATCTTATGATCTAGAAAATGAAGTATTTGGCCAGGCACTGTGGCTCACGCCTGTAATCCCAGCACTTTGGGAGGTCGAGGAAGGCAGATTGCTTAAACCCAGGAGTTTGAGACCTGGGTTTACCCTGTTTCTACAAAAACCTGTTTTGCACAAAAAATTTTTAAACCCTGTTTCTACAAAAAATTTTTAAAAATTAGCCAGGCATAGTGGTGTGTGCCTGTAATCCAAGCTACTCAAGAGGCTGAGGTGGAAGGATCACTTGAACTTGGGAGGCAGAGGTTGCAGTGAGCCAAGATTGCACCCCTGCACTCCAACCTGGGCGACAGAGCAAGCGTGTGCCTCAAAAAAAAAAAAAAAAAAAGTGTTTATCTAGGTTTTTCTTGCTTTCAACCCTAAGTAACATGTTTCCTTTGGCCAGGTCCATCCTATAAACAAAGCCCTCCAAGATTAAAATGTCTATAAGCACTCAACAAGTGTTTCTTGCAGATTGGGCCATCTTCATCTGACCCAACCAAGATGTAGGAGGAGAAACCAGAAGAATTTCTAGTCACAGCTGCACTGACCAAACAATAGTTAAACAGGTACATTAAACTGCAGAACTACTGTCAGTGTCAGAGACCGAGGGCTTCCGCCCAAAGATGGCGATCCCGTGGGATTTCCCCCTCTCCTTTCAATTCTCAGTATCTTGGAGAGATGAGCCTCGGAGTTTTGCCCAGGATTTTACAAAATGGCAAACTCCTACATTTCCTTCTTTGGTCTGGGTTTGTCGTCTCTGGAGTCGTGGGACTGTTTATAAATTTCCCTGTGAGGACATGCCAACCTGTGCTGTGAAATGGCTTTAGGGTAGATCCAGGAAAAGAAGAGCAGTTACTGCAGTCACACTTGGATTTCTCCCAGATCTTAAAGCAACTTGTAAACAGAATGGTTGTACAATGTGTCATCTAAACCAGAATACTTTGGATAGTAAGTGGTATGTGGTAGTATTCATAACTACACTAAGGCAACAGGACTATCTCAGGCAGTCCAGGGCAGATGGTCACCCCGCTTGTCCACCCAAAGACTGTCAGGGCACATGTCTTAGGAGCTGTCTATGCAGAGCTACAGATAAAGCAAGCCAAGTGGGACCTGCCTTGTCTGGTGTTTTTCCAGAACCTCACACCTTCTGATTATATTGTTCTCCCAGCCTGCTGCCAGTTACTTGGGCTTGGTCTTAGATAGCACGTTTGCAGATAAAGAAGACTTGAGGGATGAGGAAGGGCTCTGGGAATGAGTTGAGTCAAAGGTGATGCTGGGGTTACCCACTATGCAAACAGGCACAAGCCTGATGTTGAAATCACAGAAAAACCAGTAAACATCTTCAATACTTGGGACATCCTTAAGGCAGAGATTCTCATTCTGGCTGATCTTATTTATATAACCATATCTAGACTGGCCCCAGCCAGGTAGCAGCACCCACATCTGCAGAGACAATGCAGTCAGAGCTCATCACCAAGAGATTATCTGCTGGGGGTTCTAGAAGGAGTCTTGACACACTTAGGGGCTTGCCTGCTTCTCAGGACTCTCACAAATGTCTAACCTTTTCAGTATCTTTATGTCCTCTCTGTGCACTCTATTTCCCAACACCTCTGGGTTGGTATTTGATGGCTGCTGGGGATGAAGTGGGGCCTGTTACAGCAGGAAGTAGGGCCCCTGACCTCCAGCTTCCAACTTTCTCTGCCTCTTCCTCTGGCATCTTTTCTTCTCTTTCCTCCCTCATCAGCATCCTGATGCTACATCTTCATTCTCCTCTCCTGTGGTGAAACCTTTCTTTTCCACATTGATCCCAAGGGAGGGGGACCTGGTGTGAGGCTGATGAAAGTGTAAGGAAATGTGGCTGACTTAGTTCTGCCCATCATGCCAGAGAGCTTAGAGATCCAGTCTGGACCAGAGATCTTCTTGTCCATCCTTTCATCCATCTGTCCATCCATCCGTTCATTCATTCACCCATCCATCCACTTGTTCACCCATCTGTCTGTCCATCCATCCATCCATCCACCTGTTCATCCATGTATCCATCCACCCATTCACTCAGCAGACATTTATTGGAGCCCCACTCTGTGCTGGTCTCTAGGTTCTAGGAATATAAGGAAGACTATAACTTGGATCGTGACCTCAAGAAGTTTACTCATCTAATGGGTAAACTAATATCAGGGCCCCAAAGTCTTTCATGGGCATGAAGGAAGGGATATAGGGGACAGTGAGTAACAAAGGATGAATGCTTAATTCTTTTTCCCTGGGGGAGAGCCTGGGGTCAGGAAAGATGATTAAGAGCTGTCCAGGAAGCAAGGAGAAGGGGCAAGATCTTGGAACAGCATTGTTCAACCAGAGAATGGCAAGTTTATCAGCCAAGCTGACGTCTGAGATGAAAGACAGGATTCTGAGAGAGATGGACCTGTTGGGTAGGCAGAGACCAGAAGAACATGGCAGACATTATACACCACTTGAAGTGGGTGGACTGTCCTGAGAGCAGTGGGAGTATTGGAGGACCTTAAGTAGGGAAGCGACATGATCAGTTTGAAAAACATTCTAGGAAGATAGCGATGACTCCCTTTGGGGTGAGAGGAGAGCCAGGAGCACCTACCAGAAGATTATTGCAATAGTCCAAGGAAGAGGTGATGACTGGCCGTAGCCTCGAGGATGGAAAGTGAGGGATGGATTTGGGGGTTATTGAGGAGGCAGAATCTGCCAGACTTGATAAACAATTTTCTTCTGGGGGTGGGGTGCAGCAGAAAGGGAAGGAGGAGTCAGGGATGCCTCATTGTTTCTAGGCTGGGCAACTCACCAAGTTAGGGAATTCAGAACCAGCTGCAGGTTAGGGGGCAAGAAGGGATAATGAACTTAGTTTCGTTGGATTTGAGATGCTTGTGGAACATCCAAGTGAAACTGTCCAGTGGACAATTGAACACAGAGCAAAAGAGGGGCCAGGGCTGGTGAAAGAGATTTTGGGGTCTTCAGTCAAGAGAGGGCTTATAAAAAGGAGCAGGCTCAGAACCCCAAGAAACACCCTTTGAGGGTGACCGAGAGCCCACAGAGGAAACTGAGAAGGAATGATGAAGGATGTAGGAGAAACTCATGGCATGGAGGTCAAGGGCGAGAGAGCTTCAAGGAGGAAGGACCCTTGGGAGCCTTCCCCAGGCATCTTCACACCTGGAAAGTGTGGAGATGCCTGGGGAAGAAAATGAATGGAGTCGCCAGGCAGGCATAGTGGCTCACACTTGTAACCCCAGCACTTTAGGAAGCTGAGGCAGGTGGATCACTTGAGCCCAGGAGTTGGAGACCAACCTGGGTATAACCCCATCTCTACAAAAAAAAAAATATATATATATATATATATAATATATATATATATATATACATGAAATTTATTGGACGTGGTGTTGCACACCTGTAGTCCCAGCTACGTGGAGGCTGAGGTGGAGGATTGCTTAGGCCCAGGAGGGTGAAGGCTGATCCTTGCCACAGCCTGGGCAACAGTGAGATCCTGTCTCAAGAGAAGATAACATGAGGAGTCAAAAAAGGCAAGGGATGGCAGGTTATCGGCATTTATTTAGTACTTCTTAC